GCGAAGGTATGCCTCCTATCAAACGTCTGCTGTGTTAAAATTAAGTTGGGTGCAGGAAATGGCCTTCATTATCAACTCAGTCGGAAATGCGCTTACACCGTTCGACTCTTTCCTCCTTCTCCGCGGAACGAAGACGCTCGCTATCCGCATGGACCGGCAACAATCTACCTCTATGTTAGTCGCTCAGATGCTCTCGAAGCTTGGTTTTGTCACGCACTACCCCGGGCTGCCCAACCACCCCGGAAAAGATATTCACGACCGCATTTCAGATGGTCAGTTCATCTTGAGCCTCCGGATTGCTCCATACTCATTCGATCGTATGTATACAGGTTATGGAGCGGTGCTTTCCTTCGAGACCGGCGACAAGGAGCTGAGCGAACGAATTGTTGCTGCTACCCGTCTGTGGGGAATCAGCGTCAGTTTTGGCTGCGTGAACAGTCTGATCAGCATGCCTTGCGTGATGTCGTGAGTACTATGTCTCCTTCGAAGACAACCTTATCTCATGAATCGACACAGTCACGCTTCCATCGACCCCGCCGTTCGGGCGGCTCGTGGTCTACCTGAGGATCTTATTCGTCTGTGCGTCGGAATTGAAGACCCCGCAGATCTTCTCGACGATCTTCGCCATGCTCTCATTGAAGCAGGCGCCATCACATTTGCCGCCAACGACTACGTGAGGATCCCCAACCCTATAAGCCGCGCGGTAGAGAAATTGGCACTGGGTGAAGCCCGGACGACGCCTCCGCGGGAGACGAGGGAGTGGTTCGTCAGCGCTCCCGGCAAGGCCATCCTTTTCGGAGAGCACGCAGTAGTTCATGGCGTCGTAAGTACTATCACCTGCGTCATCCTGATCTTTCATTTTAACTGGTTGCTAGACCGCGGTCGCGGCCTCTATTGACCTACGTTGTTATGGGTTGACATCCCCTCGACACGACAACAAGATATCTGTCCACTTCGCGGACATTGACGATTACAGGCATGAATGGGATCTAGATGAACTGCCTTGGGATGCTGTGGTCTCAATTCCGAAGGGCGACGAACATCCCGAGTCGCTCGACATAAGGGTCGTAGACGCCATTAAGTCGCGCGCCCTTCCGCCAGAGTCCAAGATGCCGCACAAGGCCCGGGCTGCCTCTATTGCCTTCCTTTACCTTTACATGATGATGACTTACAGCGGCCATAGGTGAGCTAGAGTTATCAGATTGATTCAGGGCATACCTTGACCGGTGAATTTTAGACCTTCGTTCCACTTCATCTCCCGCTCTACTCTCCCCATCGGCGCTGGATTGGGCTCCTCCGCCTCTTTCTCCGTCTGTATCGCCACTGCACTGCTCATCCTTCATCAGCGCATCGAGCTCCCTTCCCTCCCGCCGCCCTCACGCGGACCCACGAAGCCTGGAGACCCAGGCCACGTCAATCTCTCGCACCAGGGTCGTCGTGCCGTACCCCCCGAGTTCGCCGAGGAGGCGAATCGCTGGGCCTTTGTGGCCGAGAAAGTGTTGCATGGCAATCCCAGCGGAGTCGACAACTCAGTCGCGGTCTTCGGCGGCGCACTCGCGTACGTGCGGCCCGGGTTTGGGAAGCGGAGCGGAATGGACCAGATTCAGGGCTTCCGTTCCTTGCGGTTCCTGCTCGTGGACTCGAAGGTCCCGCGGGACACGAAGGCGCTCGTTGCTGGTGTCGGGAGGAAGAAGGCCGCTGAGCCAGAGCTGGTGGGCCAGCTCCTCGATGCAATCCAGACGATCAGCAATGAGGCCCGACGTGCGCTGGCCGACCCAGAGTTACCGCGGAGTGCACTCCTGTCTGGTCTAGCCGTATGTGTCGCCCGTCCTCGTAGTCCACCCTAGCGCTTGCTAATTGGTGTTATACTCGCAGGCCCTCATCGACGAAAACCACGCCCACCTGGTTACCCTTGGCGTGTCTCATCCTGCGCTGGAGACGATCCGCGCGAAGACTGCGTCTCCGCCCTACCATCTTAGCACTAAACTCACCGGTGCCGGCGGTGGAGGCTGCGCGGTGACTCTCGTTCCGGATGGTAAGCCCCTGCGGTGTAGGCTGATGCAGCGCATATACTCACTTGGATCGCAGATTTCTCCGACGACGCACTCCAATCCCTTATCGCCGCTCTGGAGGCGGAGGGTTACCGGCCGTACGTGACCGCCGTCGGCGGCTCCGGCCTGGGCGTGCTCTCCCCGTACGACCCTATCCACGTCGACCAAGAGGACGAAGCCTCCGCGCCATTGTCTCCGCCCAAGACGCCCGGCCCCAACGGCCGGGAGGAGCATTTGCGCCCGTCGATCCGTCGCCGCTTCGAGGATGTTGATGTGAGCGAGCTGTCGCAGTGGGCGTCGGGCCGTGGCAAATGGCTGTATGTCTGAGCTTGGCACCCCGGGGACGTCACAAATATCGAAACGTTGTGATCTACGGAGATGTGTGTGCTTCGTGTACTATTAAATGGATGAAATGTGTGATGTTACTCAGAATGCCCAGCTTGAGGGATATGGTTATGCTACACAAGTTGATTAATGGGTGTCAATGCGCAAGATGGTACGTCTGCGGCCTATTTCCTCGTAGTACATGTCACCCCTCCCTACACGCCGAATGTTGACCACCATACTTCTCCTGCAGCTGTCGCACCTCGTCCTTCCAACAGTTCAATATCAACGTCGTTTCCTGGAGTGATGAACACGACAGCCCCTTCGTCCAATTCGAATCTTTCATTACCATTTCCCACAGCGATCGGGCCAGGACATTCTCCGACTTGCTTTACTTCATGTTACATCTTTCTCTTAGACTATCGCCACCTCCCTAATTCCATCTGCTCGATGCCGACGCGGACTACCTCGACTACGACGGCGATGACGGGGACCACTACGACCTCTATCGAGACTTTCATGAATACTACCGATATACACGCCCGCCGTCCAGCAAGGCGACGGCTTTCTACCTTCCAAGCTGGCCGCCATGCTCGTCCGCCATGCCACCAACTCCCACCATCGGTTGAAGCCCTCGATCTGTCCCTCACTTCCCTGACGCCGACCCTCGCCTCCCTGCGGCTTCATGTCCTCACCTACCTTGCCGATCTAGAGAGTCGTCTTTCACTCTTCGAGTCTCCCATTACCTCGGAATCGATCAAGGCTACAGGAGAGTTCACTATGGACGAGGCCTGCGCGTGGGCCCTAGACGGGCTCGAGATGCTTCGCAAGATCCGCGAGGACGTGTACGCCCACCTACCCGACTTCACGCTGGAGAACGTTCCCTCGGTTCATCTTGCCCTTCGTGACAATCCCGATCGTCGGGCCCTTTACCGCACTCAACCGCTCCGTCCTCGCACCGTCCCCGCTGAGCAGGGTACCGAGAACAACAAACTCCTCCATGGGAGGATCGTACTTGGACGTGCGGCCTTCGCGTGAGTGCGGGTACGCCTTTCGGGGTAAGGCCCAGTGCGACACCGGGCGGGCGGTGTAGGTGAGCATGTCCACGAACGTGCCGATTTGCGAGGCGAGCGAGTCCGGCGAGTCGAAGGCGGCGTTGACTACGTTGTCCGAAATGGCCATACACTCGATGATATCTGATACGGTCGTCAGGTCAAGTACGGGAGATAACGTCAAAGTAAGGGGATGGACGCAACGCACCTCCCTCGAGGTAAGCGTGCACCTTGTCTGCGCCGATGTAGATGGCCTCGCCTTTCTTCAGCTTCGCCAAGTTCATGAAGAAGGTGGTTGCGAGGACCCCCGCGTCGCCGGGGTATTGACTATTGACCTCGATAATGAGGCGCGCGAGCTCGTCGCCATTGGGTATCCCGAAGCTTTCGCCGCGCTTGATGCGTTGCTCGAGTGTTGAGAGGGCGGTCGCGATCTCGTCGCGAGCCTCCACACCGCGCCTGAGTAGTGACCCAAATATCCGCCTCAATCCGTCGGTGGAGGGGCTCTTGCCGAAATTGGATACGAGCGTTGCATCCCCTACGGCTTGCGCGAGCTCAGGGACCTTTTGAAGGAAGACATTAATTTCCTCGAGAGGACGGAATCCCACGAAGCCGGTGAATGCAATATCCTCGTCCCCAACATGTACTTCTCCGTCCTTCGTGGCCGATCCCGCATGAGCGAGGGGCTCCCCGATGGCAATAGCAATCTCGGGTTTATAGTTCGCGTCGACGAAGTTTGAGGGGTCCTTCTGCTGGAGCTGCTCCGCAAGACCCTTGTCTGGGTGGGCTTGAAGTGGGAGGGCTTTCTTGATGGATAGAACCTTGAAGAGGTAGGGGATGTGTGTGGTAGAGGGCCACTTTCGAACGAGTGTCTCTCCGAGGTAAAATGTGGGGTCCGAGGAAATCAGGGAGAGGAGGGATGTCGATGGGTCGTCGAAGAGGTGTGCTGGACCGTTCGGGTGCGTGCCCATCCAGACCTGCGCGACAGCGTCAGGAACTTTGTATTGCTCGTCGTCAAAAAATATGAGGCTTACTTCCGCATACGACTTCCCCTCGTCTATTTTTAAGCCGTGACCGACCGCGTTTTTGCCCAGTCGCGCTGCGAGCGACGTGCTCCCTGACTTTCCCCAGTCATACTGTTGAGTCGCGACTTTGAGACGGATGAGGTTCTTCTGTGCGGGCATAGCGATATTTTGCGGGATGCGGCGTCGCTGTCCATGTTTGCGTAAAACTCTTTAAAGGTGTGCTCGCCCGCGGACTCCAACTTGCTAAACACTCGCCACACGCGCGAGTTCTGGGATGACGGCCGCCCTGACGTCATCACTACACAAGTACACAACCGTAAAGGGAAACTGAGTTACCTTTCCCAGATAGCGCCCGTGATTCCACAGTGCTGCATGCTTCTGTGATGTCTGTGCCCTTGGGGGTAAAAAAGAGCAGCAGCAAAGTATCACCTCCCGTTTGGTCGTTCTCTTAATTCCACCGCGCTCGGCGCCAGCACCGTGACTGCCTTCCTCCCAAACTCTCTGACCTTGTAGCAAGCGATGTTGACCACTGATTTGCCTGGTAACTTCAAGGCGAGATGGCCGAGCGGTCTAAGGCGCCAGACTAAGGAGTTGGCTTCGGTCATTTCTGCGATTATCTGGTCCGAAAGGGCGTGGGTTCGAATCCCACTCTCGTCATGCTTCAGTTTTTACCGCTCTGTGGCTGGGATCGACGCGCACGGAACGGGCTCCGCGATCGATAGTTTCCCAAAAGGCGAGCTGTAGATCCGCTAGCATGCAGCTCGCGCGCCGAGGCTCCCTGAGTGGCTCCTTTGCTTCTCACCTCATAGGGACCCCCTTACGTGTCGGGATAACTTGTCGTTTAACGCACCTTCATCGCGAACGACTCACAGCGTCGTACACACACTCAAGCCTTGCGAAAGCACCTATAACGAGCCGCAAATACCACAACCTCGCTATTACGACAATGTACCCGCCCATCGAACCATACCAGACCGGAAAACTCAAAGTCTCCGATATTCATACATTGTAGTACGTACTAGCCGCATCGACCTTGTCTCCTCTCGTGCACCCATATGGCTCTGATATCACCTGCAGCTTTGAGTTGAGCGGGAACAAGGACGGCACACCCGGTAGGAATCTTCAGACCATCCTGTTGAACATGGATCTTACCACGGGCTATTAGTTGTTTTCCTGCACGGTCTGCACGCTTCCTTCTGCGTACGACGGAATCGCACGACTCATTCACCCTGATTGCTCAGGCGGACCAGGGGGAGGCACCGATCCTAAAGATCGCTCCTTCTTTGACCCGTCAAAATACAAGGTATGGTTCATTGATCCCATCCATATAGTTTGTGCTGATTTTCCGTACGCAGATCGTGCTCTTCGACCAACGAGGCTCTGGCGAGTCTACACCGTAAGCTTTGCCCTCAGCATGTTCATAGTCTATCTGAACTATAATCACGGAGCACAGGACGGCGTCTCTTGAAGAAAACACTACATGGGACTTGGTCAAAGACATTGAGAAGCTGCGCGAACACCTCAAGATCGAGAGGTGGCATGTGTTTGGCGGCTCCTGGGTATATTGATATAATCGAATGATCTTGATTTATCATGGTCCTAACCGCCATCCAATAGGGATCTACCTTGTCTCTTGCATACGCACAGGTTTGCTTCCATTCATTGGCGGATGAGGCGCGCCGTCTCATTCCCGTTTGTCATGTAGTCGCACCCGGACCGCGTAAAGACCTTGGTCATCCGAGGCATATTCACCCTGCGTAAGAGGTGCGATCCCACTTCCCGCCGGTGATCTCGGGTGCTAACCCGCCCGCTACCAGCGAACTACGTTTCTTCTACCAAGATGGTGCATCCCATCTGTTTCCCGAGGCTTGGTATCGAATGGCCCTGCTCATGGGAGGAGGTACAGTGCTGACGGCATACCAGGGAAGAATTTATTGCGCCTATCCCGGAGGCTGAACGCCACGACATCGTGACGGCGTACCATGCCCAACTGAACGCCGCGGACGACGAGATCCGTCTCCGGGCAGCACGGGCGTGGACGAAGTGGGAGTGCGTTCTACGCCCGTGGAGCTTGCGTATGCGGGCAGGCTGCTGACTGTTGTGCGGACAGGATGTCCACTTCGAAGCTCTATGTCGACCCCGCACAGGTGGCAGAGGCGGAGAAGAATGACTTCGCAAAGTTCGTACCTCGTTTCCGGGCTTGCAGACGGACGCATCTTTGATACCGGCGGCATGCATGCAGCGCGTTCGCAAGGATCGAGAACCACTACTTCGTCAACGACGTACGTCCGTGTCTACCCATCCGGACGTTGTTTCTCACTCCAGGGTGCAGGGCTTCATGCGCGACGGTCAGCTGCTCGAGAAGCAGGAGATAGACAAGATGTAGGTGCTGCCACCGCACGCCACGCCGACATGTCTAATTTTACCCGGAACCTGCAGCCGGCACATCCCCTGCGTCGTCGTGCAGGGGCGGTACGACGTCATCTGCCCGGTGCGCGCGTGCTGCACCTCTCACGCCATCGCTTGGCACTGACCACCTGCTCCGCGGACTGCAGGCGACGACGGCGTACGCACTCAAGAAGGTCTGGCCGGAGATCACGCTGCACATTGTGCCCGATGCGGGCCACTCTTCGCGCGAGCCGGGCATCACCAAGCTGCTCGTCAAGGTGCGCGGTCCCACCCCTCGGGCCTGGAGGCGTGGTCGATGCTGACTGTGCTGTCGCAGGCCACAGACGAGTTTGCGCACCTTTGAATGCCGCGAGCGAGAGGAGGCGGCGGGTCGGCGGAGATGGATCGGTAAGATGGCGCGACGAAGATATATTCGGACGACCAACGAGAGGGATGTACGTCGCATGCTGTGTCGTGTGGTGGCAATACAAGAATACTCCAAGGCATCGGGGCTGTGCCTTGTATGTACCGAGTGCGTGGAAGGGATCTCGGTGTTAGTACCAGTATGACTGCACGCACCGGTACCGTTGTGAGATCTGGAACGCGTTCGCGAATTGGCCGGCCAGCTTTCCTCTGCGTTATGCCAGAGCGTAGGATGGCCGATGAGCAGGGTGTACGCTGAACACAGCGAAGAAGAGCTGGGCGTAAGCGTGCTTTATAGCCGACCATACGTGCGCGTAGACGATTCGGGCCGATGACGTAGCGGCAGTCGATATAAGCCCTAAGCGCACTGGGGGGCGGGGGCGTACGAGGCGCCATCGATGCTGCTTGCTTCCTGCCATTTTACTGCCCACCTGGGGACACTCTTACAGCGCGGTGGGACGATTGTGCGAAGACGAGTGCGCTCGAGTGCACTCGAGTCTCGACTGTGAGCGCTCGCTCTCGCTCTGGACGAAGACAAGCGACGACCCTAGATCGAGTCGGCGGCGGGCGGCTGGAGAAGTGCCCCCGTAAGTGCGCCTGGAGCATGGACGAGCATCAGGGGGGCCAGGAGAGGTCGTACGATGATCATGAAGACGGTGCGTGTTGGGTCTTCGAGATGGCGATTTGACGTCGGCTGGGCCGGCCTGCGCGGGTCCGTCGTCGACGCGGGGCGAGAGACGCCCGTGCGCGGGGCTCCTCCGCACAGAGGCCGGTGCGGAGACAGCGGCAGGTGACGGCTGCAGGTGACGGTGCGCCGGCTGCTCGAAGGCTCTCGAGGGGGAGCAGCGCTGGGCAGTGGCCGCGGACTGGGTGTGGGCGAGGACGGCCCAGCGGGGAAACCGCGGTGGGCGACGGGGCCGAGATAAGATTAGATAGAGGTGCGATCGCATCGGGCAGAGACGCGCGCGATGTGTCAAAATTCGGGCCAAGTGGGACGACTTTGGGCGCGCGCGCTTGGAATATAAGCATCCGGCCCTCGTCCCCGCCGCTCAGCCTGGCTCGCCGACGCAGACAGACGCGACCTCGCACTCGGACTCGCGCACGGCGTCCTCACCACCGCACTCATCCCCCAAAAGTCCGCCCGCGTCGCGCCCGCGCCATGGATATCCTCCTCGACCTCCACGACGATCTCGTCTTCGACCGGATGTGGGCCGCCCTTCTCCCGGTCTCTGCGTTCACGACCGCCAGCTCGAATGCGGCCGGCCTATACAGTAACGCTTCTCACGTCCCCCTCCCCTCCTCCCACCTCTCCGCCTGGTCCCACCTCATCTCGCACATTCCCCACCCCCCGCTCCCAGACGACCTGCTTACCTCACCCCTCGTCGCTTCCGAGACCGTCGCCTCGGCCTGGCCCCGCGACTACCTCCCCCGCCAGATCATCTCCCTCTTCATCCTCACATGGGTCGGCGTCCACGCCCTCTACTTTATTTTTGCCGGCCTCTCCTACAAGTACATTTTCAACCATGAGATGATGAAGCACCCTCGTTTCCTCAAAAACCAGGTCAAGCTCGAGATCCAGTCAAGCATGCGGGCCTTCCCAAGCATGACCCTCCTCACCCTGCCCTGGTTCGTGGGCGAGGTGCGCGGTTATTCGAAGCTTTACGAAAATGTCGACGAGTACGGCTGGGGATACCTTCTGTTCTCGATGTTCTTGTGAGTTGTCGGCTATACGCGTCGGCTGAGCACAACCTCACCAAATTCCTTCTGTGCAGCTTCCTGGTCTTCACCGACTACTGCATTTACTGGATCCACCGGTGGGAGCACCACCCTCTCCTTTACAAGTGGCTGCACAAGCCGCACCACAAGTGGATCAGTCAGTGTTTTCCGTTCCTCGTGTCTCACTTTTCGGCCGAACTGACCCGCGTCCGCCCTGCAGTCCCCACCCCCTTCTCCTCGCACGCGTTCCACCCGCTCGACGGCTACGCGCAGTCCCTGCCGTACCACATCTTCATCTACCTCTTCCCGATGCACGAGAAGCTCTATCTCGGCCTCTTCGTCTTCGTCAACTTCTGGTCGATCTTGATTCACGACTCGGACATGATCACCGGCCACCCGCTCGAGACGATCATCAACGGCCCTGCGCACCATACCCTGCACCATATCTACTTCACGGTGAACTACGGCCAGGTACGTGTTGCAGCGCACTCGTTTCGTCTCCGGGAAACTGACTTTTGCTCGCATTGTTACAGTACTTCACCTGGGCAGACCGCATGGGCAAGTCGTATCGCCAACCGCTCTCCGAGCTCGACCCCATGAACGAGATCAAAGCCGCCGAGGCGAAAAAGGCCAAGGAGCAGCTCGGCAAGGATCAATGAGCGTCCCCCCAGTCCCCCTTCGGGGTGGATCCGCGTTTCTTGTTTTTTTCTATGGATGTTTATTGACGACCCGCCACGACTTCGGCTCCAAATGTACACTACTATTACACGCGCCCGGGCGGACCCCTGCTAGGCGGGTCGCGGGTCAACGCTACCGGTAACACTACCACCACCACCACCACCGTCACCATAGATACTTGTAGGGGGGCGACGACCTAATTGCTAGCGCTGTCGAGAGTCGTGTATACCGGCATCTTATAATGCACCCTGTTCCATGGCTGTGAACGTTCGTGCGCGTTTTTGTGTGCTCTGCCTGTTTTTGTCTGTATGCGAGGGATGGCGAGACGTAGCGGGATTGGTCTTGTGCGCAATATTGTGCACTGCGCATGCGTGTGGATGGCGACTGCTCTGACCGCTGACGTCGTGCGGTGCCGAAACGCAACACCCTGATTTTGAATGCGGTTGGGCGTGGCGAAAATCAAACCCTCGAGGCTCACGCGGGCCGAAAACCCAAAAGACGGTGGCGGGGCCGTCGCGCGGCAGCACTGCGTGGCGGCGCATGTACACCGCGGATATTTCAAAATGACAGCGGCACAGATGGGGAGTGCATGTAGGTAGGTACAGCGGACAGACACAAACAGTAAACACAGCGAGCACCATCGAACGCCAGGACTTCTCTCCCTCCCTCCCTCCCTCCCCCCAACTGCCAGCGGCCGCCTGACTGCCCTTCTCCCCGTTTCACGGGCGTCTTGACGGCTGCGGCTTTTCCAACCCTCGCGCTGACGCGCGGACACGAGCGGACGCGGGGGGGGGGGGGGGGGCCTCACCGCTTCGCCGGCTTGCGCTTGACCTCCTCGTCCTTACACGCGTGCAGCATGAGCTTGTTCGGGTGCCCGGGGGTCATGCCCGAGTGGCCCTTGGACCAGTCGTACGAGAGCGCGTACGCGAAGATCGTGCCGGAGCGGTTGAACGCCGTGCACGGGACCGGCGCGGGCGCGGGCTCGAAGGCTGGACAAAAAAGGGAGGGGGAGAGAGGGCAGCGATCAGCTGGGGGCGGACGGCGGGGTGGAGGTGAGGCGGGGAAAGGAGAGGACACGTACATTTTAGGCGCGTGCGTGCGTCCTTGTCCCAGAAGTTGATGGTTCCGTCGGAGCCTGTATTCGAAGAGGGCGCGATCAGAGAGGGCCCGGGGTCAGGGTCGCAGGCACGACGCACCGCAGGTAGAGAAGGTGCCGTGTACGGGGTGGAAGGAGATGTCGTTGACGGCGTATACCAGCGATTGGTCCTTGGTCGTCGGTGACTGGTCGCGACGGTGGCACTTGAAGGAGAAGTTGTTTCTACGTACGGACACAGTAAGCCTCAGAGTAGCGCCACACAGGTGACTGCGACGATAAGAGCATGGACGGATACGTACGAGGCGTCCTTGTCCTCAACGTATCTGGATGCGCGACGGGCGATGAGCTGGGCGAATAGAGGATTAGGGAAGGGGGTACGTACTGGATGGCCACGCGGCCTTCGATACTTCCTACGGCGAAGCCATTCGCCGAAGGGAAGCAGGATACAACTCGTGTCTGCCACTTCAGTGGCGAGACAAGTGTCTGGCGCGACCAATCCGAGTGAGATATAGGACCAAGAAAGAAAATGGTATTGAATTCGCACCTTGAAGGGGGTGGTGGGGTTCGCGAGGTTGAATACTTGGATGTGTCGTTCGGCCGTGCCTACAACCATTAGGGGATATACAACATCCATGGTGTAACACCGCTCCGGCAATTGCGCGACCGACACGGGGTTGGACTGACGTAAGTCCCAGTACTGCGTATGTCGCCTAAGATCGGTACTCTGTTGGGATGGACGCAAGTGAGGACTCACCTTGACCGTCTTGTCCCAGCTTCCAGTGGCGAGCACGCTAGCCTGGGGGGACTCGATCCACCGCACGACGCGAACCGGCGCGTCGTGCTGTGCGACCTGAGTCGCCTGGCCGGTCGTCACGTCGAACATTCGTCCTGCATTATCCGCACCCCCAGAGAGAATCTTTGTTCCGTCCTGTCACCCGCGCGCGAGTATCGCAACATTGGTATCGCGAAGTCGCGTTTGGAGGTTGAAATCGAGGCCTACCTTGTTCCAACATACACTGAATACGGGCCCATTGTGGGGGTACATCGCCTTTCCCTGCGTCTGGCCGCTTGCGCCTACTTCGTAAATACGAACCTAGCCACAGTGTCGGGGCACGTCAATCTGTGGGTCATGGTCCGTCTGCGTAGGTTTGTGTTTTACGTACATTGTTGTCCCAAGACCCCACAGCAAGATAATCAGCCGTGGGTGAGAAGGAGACGGCAGAGATAGAGTCGGTCGGGGGATCCGCGACTTCGATGTCTTTCTCAGCAGGTGTGTTGTTCACGAGTGTGCTCGACGACGACGCAGAAAAGAACGACATGATTGCGACGACTCAGGAACGCGCGCAGAGCGTCCGCGGATGGGAGAGAAGGCCGAGTCGAGAAAACGAGGAGCACGAAGAAGTCGAACAGAGACAACACTGCCTGCGGTATGTGGGCGCGGCGCTCTCTGGCAGGTGCACATGCCACACCTCTCCGCCACAACGCGTGACGCCCTCCCGTTTTGGCAGCGAGGCGCGTCACACAAGATGGCTACACCGCGGTTTCAGGCACTTTGCAGGCCTTCTAGGTTCTCCGACCCAAATTTTGACCGAGAAAAGCATTCATATCCGTGTTGGTTACCCGATAGATCATTTCACGCCTACAGGATGGCCAAAAAGCGACCAACCTGGGATTCGAACCCAGAATCTTCAGCTGACATGTTTACCGGAAACTGACGCCTTAACCATTAGGCCAGTCGGCCAACACCCATGTCGCAGTAGTGCTCGACTGCGGGTTCATACATGACTTCGCGCGATCCACTGCTCAAAGTTCCGCTTCGTCACGACCGGTGCCTTCCTTGCGCGGGTAACCTACAGTAAAAGCGCACCACCCGCCAGTGGGATACTGGCCATATCCTGCGATCTCGGTTAAGCGGCGGGTCAACTTGAGGCCAAATGAGCGAGTGGTCCCACTTCGTCAGACTACCCGACGGCGGACTGAACGTCATACCATGATCACCAACGCTTTCACCTCGTCACCCTCGGGGCGGGGCGGCACGGGCCTCTTCGAGCACACGGATGCCCGCAAGTGGCAAGTACGGTGTCCTGCGCGACGATGCGACCCACTCTGACGTCGAGGTGAGGTCAATGGGCGGGATCCACGATCCAGTGCGGAACGTGCCACCACCAATATATAATAAACGAACCTGAAAGATAGTTTCAACAACATCGCTTCAGCATCGCCAACTGAGCTTCCTTACCCTCGCATCCTCTCTCGTAATATCAACATGGTCAACCAGTCGCGCGGTCCTTACAACATGCCCGCGGGCAACCGGGACGTCGATAATCTAACCTACAACCCGCAAGCCGACGCACGTCCGGATAACGCTGCGTTCGACGAGTCAACCGACAGCGGCATCCAGCCGGTCGGCGCGCGGGGAGCTGATAACCAACTCACTTACCGCGATTACCAAGCGGAGGACTTAGACACCGAGCGTTCTGAACAAACTGGTCAGATCCCGAGAGGTCAGTGCCGACATTTAGATTAGGCCAGTAGGCAATTCCTCGTACTGAACCCAACTGTATCATAGGCGAGGTTGAAGATCTCTTGTCGAGCGCCGCCCAAGATGAAAGGGGCCTCTCTGGACGGACCCGCGGGAAGAAGGTCGATGCGTACAAACAGGAGCGGGAGCTTGATCAGTCTTTCGAAGAGGCCGGCCTCGCCGATGCCGATCCAGATGTCAAGATCGGCCGCGCTACCGGTCGGTGAAGCTTTGAAGTTTCTGGGGCGGTACCATCCGGGGCAGAACAACAGTAGTCTGAAGTATTATGACTCAGTGTATATTTAGTTACGTGTATCTTGTTGGGTCGAGCCTTATTTTCTTGTGAAATCTGCCAGCATACTGTCGTTGGTGACTGCACGGCCACACTAAGCCGAATCTAATGTGAAGCTGCGCTAAAGGACCGCCGAAATCTGCTAAGCTACATACCATGCTTATGGCGGGAGTTGTATCTGCGTGTTTTGCCCCAGTTGAAAGCAAATCCTGCGCCGGATGTAACCCGGCTTCTCATGGGATGTTGACGTGCTCTCCCGTTCAATAAGGGAGCATCTCACAACTCCCGAGTGGGAACGAGTGCGAAGCATGAGACCATGGGGCGGCCTCCGCGCCCTGAATTAATCGGCCAGAAGGCGGGAATTCGAGTGAACAATGTGGATGGTGCACGGCAACGTCGTGTCAGAGAACCTGCAGTTGTGTAATGAAAGCCAGGACGAGAGACAGAAGCTTGTGTAGGCACGGCGATAAGTGCACTTGAAAGGCGGGTAAACACCGATAAACCTTGCGCTGAAGCCGGGGATAAACAAGATCTATAGTACTGTGGCAGGCGCCCCGACCCGAGCGGCGCGCCACCGCGTCTAGGGCGAGGAAATCGAACCGGGCGCACTCACAACACCCCCTCTCTCCCGCCCACCACGCACTCCCCGCCGCTGCGCTCGGTCGCACCTCCTTCGCGCTCTCCTCGCTCGACATCCAGCAGCCGTCTCGCCATGACGGCGTTCCTCCCGCTGGATGCGGGCGCCGCGTTCCCGCCGTCGCCAGCGTTTCTTGTGTCGTCGCCGGACACCGCTAGCCATATGAAGCGGGTCATCAAGACCATCCTCAAGGCGCGCCGCATCGCCGTTGTGTGCGGTAATGATACATGACCATCTCTGTGGAAGCGCGGTGCTAATTGATACTTGCGCGGTAGGTGCAGGCATATCTGTCAAGGCCGGCATCCCGGATTTTCGGTCATCGGAGGGCCTCTTCCACAGTCTCAAGAAAGATCACCCGACTTTGAGCTCAGGAAAGGACCTGTTTGACGCATCCGTGTTCAATGTGAGTCCACAAGCTGGATCGTATCGTCTGCGTCGGTCTTTGCGGGCGTAAAGGTGGTCTAGTGGTGGCATCGTGTACGACGACGTTGCGCATATACGACTCGAGAGTCTCTCTTGTCTATTCGACGTGGCGCTCAACTCTGGGGGAACAAGCGGGTACTGGAGGAGAGGGCAATTGCTCTGCGTCACAATTATTCGACGTTGGCGCAACGTGCGTCTGAGGAAGCACACAACGCCGAGGCAACGAAGCACAGGCCCCCGCAAGTCATCGTGGTGGCCTTGATCACAACAGGAATTGCGCTAGGCTTCATGTTAGTTTTCAAAGCCTGCCGTGATTGCCTACTTCAAGTCCACTGCTATCTTGAACATAGCTGTGGCCGTGCATCCCTGCCTTATATCTCGCTTGGTCGCTCGGTTGTTTTATAGCTGCGCGATTACTCGCAACGACCGTTATCAAAAGGCTCGCGAAAACCATTCTTTCCTTTACATGTCTGAAACGGTTGCTCACATATTTTCTCCGGCATAGTCGGAAGACACAACTTCGCTCTTCTGTCAAATGATCGCGCAACTATCACAGCTTTCAGAAGCTGCGGAACCCACTCCATTCCACCGCTTCCTTCGAGTCCTAGACGAACGTCGGCGCCTCCTCCGAGTGTACACGCAGAACATCGATGCACTTGAGGAGAAATCAGGTCTCACGTTCGGCGTCCCAGATATCGACGGTAAGCGGTACAGGCCTCGCGCATCGAAAGGGAAGTCCGTCACTATCAACCCCGCCCCGATGGAGGATTCTGAGGCCGTTCGGCTACCTTCCCCGCCCGCGGAAACCCCTCGGTGTATCCCATTGCATGGTACACTCCAGATGATGCACTGCCAGACATGCAGGCATTCCTACCCTCTTCGTGACTACATGGACGCATTGACTTCCGGCATACCTCCTCCTTGTCCACAGTGCACAGCGCTAGAAGAAACCCGCCAATTGGTTGGGAAGAGATCTAGAGGTGTCGGAAGATTAAGGCCCAGTGTCGTGCTCTACAACGAAGACCACAAGGACGGCGAGGAGGTTGGGGACGTTGTGCGGAAGGATCTCATCGGCGGCTTCAAGGGTAAGGGCCGTGCAGGTGCGGACCTCCTCCTGGTCGTGGGCACCAGTCTGCGGGTCCCGGGAACGAAGCGCATCGTGCGCGAGTTCTCCAAGGCCGTGCGCTCTCGATACGCTGCTATGAATGCGCCGAGCGAGGAAGCGTCGACGTCCTCCCACGGTCTTGCGACTCCCACGCCGTCTCCCCGTCGGTCTCCTGCGGAGGACGAGGAACCCCCTGTGCGGACTATTTATCTCAACCTGGACTTCCCGGTGCCGACCAGAGAGTGGGAAGGAGTGTTTGATGTGTGGATACGAGGAGATGCGCAGGGGTTCGCGCAGATGGTCCATGATGAGCTGGAGAAAGAAGAACAGGCGAAGGAGGCTGCGCGGGAGCGGAGGCGGCGGAGAGAGGAGGCTGCGGCGGAGATGGCGAGGCTGGCGGCAGAGAGGGAGAAGGAAGACGCCATGGAACTGAGTCGGGATACTGCCCCTCCTAAGAAGGGGAAGAAGCGGAAAGAGCAGTCTCATTCGGAGAACGACGGTCATGCCCATCCGACAAAGAAGCGCAAGGCTGGAGCTCCGCCGCTGTCTCCAGTATCACCCGCCAAGGTGCGCAAGGAGAAGGTGAAAGGCAAGAAGGAACGGGTGCGGGAAGACGGAGGCCTACCCACACCGCCAGTGTCTCGAGACGATCCAAAACGGCTCACTATCAAGTTGCCGCCACGTTCACAGCTCATGGCAGAGGTCGTCATCGAAACGTCTCCCCGCAAGTCCTCAAGACCTGTCGTGCAGGAGGGACCACTGTCTTCCCCTCTATCCTCACCTCCAGAGTCAGTCGGCGTGCTTTCACCTCCACCATTGTCGAAAGGCGTTGTCACGGCTGCTCAAGCGTCATCGCCGCTGTCCACTCCTCCACGCTCCGTGCATTCACCCTCCCCGTACAACATGTCTCGGATGAGCAGCACTCTGTCGGAGATTTCTTCGCCTTTATCCTCACCACCTTCAACACACCTACCGTCACCTCCCAAGAGGGCGCGCACGACCAGCAACACGACCCAACTGTCGTCTCCTCTGTCCTCTGTGCCTACCTCTCCTCATCGCGAAGAACTTCCCCCGTATTTCAGCCGCAGCTCTCCTCACCGTAGGCAGACCTCGCCACCGACACCTTCCCCTCTACACCGAAAGAGGACCCCTGGCGGGACTGGAAGCATGATTGGTGGATGGCTCGGCAGGAAACCGGGCGTGAAGCCAGGGTACTCGTACGGTCGTCGGTCGACTTCTATGGGGGACGAGGACGGCGACGTCGACGTACTCGGGTTGAGTGATGACGACTTAGACATGCCTCCTTCCGAGAGCCGCCTTCCAGAGTCGTACATGCGGACGGTGCAGCCATCGTCGAAGGCTCGCCGTCGTGGGCGCGTGCGATGAACTGGACTTGCTGTACAATGCGCACGTACTGTGACTGTTGAGCAGCCGCGTAGCGCAACGCTACGCACATTCCTACCTACCTCTCACGCTTTCCTTGTTACGTCGCGATCGTGTCTGTCTGTGTCCGTGTTTACTTATTTGCTATTTGTACGATAGGTGGTACCATACGACCCAGAGGCGTACTTTGCTGCCGCCGCCGACCTTGGGCATGTGCCGGACAGTTCGCTGAAGCGCATGTTCCCGCTATAATCTACCTGAACGTTCGCGTCTTCCAAGTTGGTACTGCGTCGGTCTCACTCGGTAGCGTCCGTGGGTCGGCGAGGTGACAGTGGGCGTGCTTTATGGAACGTGGAGGCTGGCAGACTTCGCGCAGCATA